TAGATCCAATCTCCTGGACCCTGCAGAGAGGAAAAAGAATTTCAAGCTCCTATCATTGTTAACAAAAAAATAAAAAAAAAAATAATAATAATAATTAAAAAATATATATATATACAGACATTTTAGAAAATATCACTTTTTACGAATCAAATTCATTCTAAGTTTCTATTAGGTTGAACTTGCTCGATTATATATTTATGCAAAATAAAAGTAAAACACACATTAACTCAGTCCTCATGGTTAATTATTTAATTCCAACTCCAATGCCAAAACCATATTTTTGATATGGTGGAGATTTCTCAAATAAGCAATAAATCTCAACTATTAGATTTTGTCATATCATTACCTTGGCTTGGAAGAGAAAATTGAATGTTCTTTGACAGAATTGAAGATGAAAAATAAATAAATTAAATTATGTTCATTATAGTGTTTAATTCTATTCCATATTGCATCCAAACACGTGGACTAAAATTCAAGAACATGAGAACAAATAAACATAAGTCTAATTATCAAATATGTATATAACTAAATTTCTTTTGATTAAACGAATAAAAACAATTGAACCTCAAGAATATTTTTCTACAGAAAATACATAAATTTTCTGGATCAATTTTCTACAATACAGTTTGTTATGAATTTTGGATCGCGGGATGATGACAATAATGAAATAAAGATGAAGAAATATGAACACAAGAATTTTAGAGGATGAGAATCTACTATAAACAATAGTTTTGTGTTTACAATATGAAGATTTCAAACCTGCCGGATATGAGTCCAAACCCCTCGGATAGACCTGTCGCTCGAACAAAAATCCCTCGTTCAAACGACAGGGCAGCAACAGGCAGGCGACAAACTCTTGGGTTATTTTCCACCGGGCTCGCTTGAGCGGTTAGCGAAAATACGACGACTTTTTCCTCCGGTTCATAATTTTGATCTCTTCAAGACCACTCCAATATAGACCCCAATACCCATTAGAATTTGGGTCAAACCACAACAAATCTTCACCTTGAACCAAATTCCAACACAAGAAATTTCAAGTCACAACTTCATCAATAAACACCACTCATCCTCTTCCAAACAAGTCCCAATTGACTAAATTAATGAGAAACACCCATTAAATTCAAACAATGTTCAAACTTAGCAATAGGAAGTGGTTTTGTCATCATATCAGTAGGATTATCATTGTTATCAACCTTGCTCACTATAATATCTCCACGAGCAATTACATCGCGTACAAAATGATACTTCACATCAATGTGCTTAGTCCTCTCTTACCTAAATTAAATTATTTGGAATATTAGGAAGGTTGTGTGTACGTAATTCATGCAGGTATTGACCGGCCTAAATAAAGGTTAATATTTGGCCGAATTAGTTACACACATGTGGTGATAAAGTGAAAATTGAATCGATCCAAAGATAAACTTGATGTTTGACCGTATTTATTGTCAATATTTTATTACTATACCAAGAGTGCCACTTATTTGAAGTTATTGATTGTAAATATCAATGTTGTACTTGGTTTCTTGTGATGGGGTTCACCACTATTTGAAATTATTGATTTTCCAACATTGATTCCTATGTAAACGTGGTAATTATGTTTAAGTTCTCTATTCAGTTAATCCATCCACTTTTGCATTATCTACCAACATCAATTCAATTCATGTGATAGAACCAAAGTTTAAGGGTTGGAACAATAACGTTTATATAGTTCTTAGTGCCATGAATCTAGACCTTGCATTTAGGAGAGAACAATCTACTATTTCTACGTATAAAAGTTTCGCTAATAAAACTGAGACTCAGATAAGTGGGATCATTCAAATCGCATAAATCTTACGATCATGAAACGTGAAATTCTAGCAGCATGTAGGAATGTTGTGTCCGATAATTAACTATTGTCAAGGAGTTTCTTGATGTAATTGAAAAAAAAAAAGCTTTGCAAAATGCAATAAGCCCGGAACTAGCACGCTTTTATCAAACTTAGTTTCACTAAAGTATTAGGGTAAATAAAACATAAGGGGTACATCATGGAGATGTCTTTTCTTATTTCAAAACTAAAAGCATTAAATATTGAATTGTCTGATGACTTGCTCGTGCATTTAGTTTTGATTTCTATTCTTGCACAATTCGACTAATTTAAGGTCAGTTACAACTATCAAATGGTAAAGTGGATTCTTAATGAATTTATTCCATATTGTGTGTAAGAAGAAGAAAGACTATAGTAAGATATAACTGATATTACTCACTTGGCACGTACATCTGAGGACAAGTTATAAAGAATAAGAAAGTTGCATCAGTTCGGTTCAATATAAACAGAGAAAGCCTGAAAAAGGATAAATCTGGTTGTTACTTTTGTGAAAATTTGGAATACATAAGGCGAGACTGTACTAGATATCACGTTGGCATGTAAAGAAAAATACACTTTTTCTCAATTTGGTTTATTTTATGGTTAATTTAGTGTCAATGCCTAAACACACTTGGTGGATAAATTTCGGTACCACTACTCACATAAGTGTGTCTATGCGGAGTTGCATGAACAACTAAAAGCCAATTGTCGTTGAAGGATTCATCTATGTAGGGCGATGACAAATCAATCAAAGTTAAGGCTATAGGAACCTTAAGTTATCATTAAAAACTGGTTATTATTATTATTTGTATTAGAGTCCCAAATTGGTTAGTAATATTTACACGATCCACTTAATAAAGTGAGGGCAATCATCTTCTAATAAGCCGATTTTGTATATTGAGTTAGACTTAATATCCTTTCTAATATAGTATCAGAGTAGGCACAATTTTGCAATATTGGGTGCACTCAATATCGATTTATTCACAATTGTTTGCCATGGTCCGCGCTGTGCGTGAGGGGGCGTATTAGAGTCCCACATTAACTGGTGATATTTACACGATCCACTTAATAAGGTGAAAGCAATCTTCCCCTAATAAGTCGATTTTGTTAGGTTGAGTTAGGCCCAATATCTTTTCTAATAATTTGAATATAAAAGGGACATTTGCAATATCGTCTTTTAGACGAAATTTGGTTTCTCTTTCTACATTGAACAAATTCTGTTACTCTTATTCAATTGAAAATAATCAGTTTGATCTTTTTCTTAATTCAAATATTGTGGGTTCCAGTTCTTTAT